CTGATCCTCAAGTTATCCTCTTGCTGACTAGGGTTCTGCAGTGGAGGATTATAGGCGTATGGCTCGAAGTAGGTTGGAGGTGGACCATAAAGATCTTCCCGGCGTCGAACAGTCTCTCTGCGCCGGTGGTAAGGGTGGTTTGGCTGCCTGTATCGATCCATGTAGCTAAGATTTCGGGCTTGGTGTTCTTCTCTGCGTCTGGTGGCTTGAGGAGTGTTATAGAAACCTTCTTCATAGTGTATATTTCAATTTATAGGATCCATATCTTCTGAAATGGAAACAAAATAACCGAAAAATGGAAATATGCAGAAAAAGGGGTTCTAGAGTCGATTTACCAACCTTTCTCGGGGTTTTGCGGAAAAGGAAACGCGTGCCTTCCACGGCAACGGCGCCAAAAACTTGATGTGTTCTGTCGTGTGTGTCGAGGGTTGTCAAGTTTTACCCTAAATGAAATCAATAGCCGCAAGTGCACAGCTGATCGATTGTAGTACTTAGGGATCGAATCCACAAGGAAGGAGGATCTTTTCCTGCAAAAGCCTTTGAAAGAAATATAAAGTAAGGAAGTCTAGAACCAGGAAAGTTTTGTGAGGGTTTTGGTAATGTTTTTAAATGTAAAAACAAATCTTAAGGAGAAAATACGGGAATTAAATGACCTAATAACTAAACTTAACGAAAACAGGTAAAAACGAGAAAAAAGATTAATCTAATTGCTTAAATGAAATCGATTAAAAAGGAATGACAATATTGAACTAAAGCTTGAAATAAAAACAGTGTGAATCTATAAGGAAAGAGGCGTTGGGGTTCAGGGAAGTTTTCTCAGGGGTACGAACGATTCAAAACATTGCTAGAGAGTAAAATTGATAAGATCTTAGCTTAAACTTTTCGAACTGGAGTCACGAACGTATGAATACGCCACTGTCGTGATCATAGACAACTATTTCTCTCAACCCTGACCAGTAGGTTTCCACTCTGGCCCTGGAAAAGAAGAGATGCATTATGTTTAAGACTCGTCAGTATTCACAAATCGCCCATAGGTAGGTTTCCACTCCTATGTTTGTTTTGCTCTCCCAAACTAGATCTGACACCTGATGAACACTTTTGTGTCACCAAGCATCTGGATCAGATTGCAGTTCATGACGCTACTCTCATGCAGTAAAAACGAATTCAGAAGAAAAAGTTCTAAGATTCGGCTCAAAAGCTCATGGAATCCTCATCGAACATATAAATCCCCATCGAAAACCTCTTAATCCGAACAATAAAACTACTCAGATATGATGAACGAAATCAAAAACCTAGTATTAAGAAGTATAATAGAAACCGAAATTGAAAAAGAAAGAACAAGGGTTCAAGAGACAAATCTCTCTCTCCCTAAAACCTAAAACTTAAAAGGTATTCTAAAACAATAAGAAAAATAGCATAGCCCCGAAATAGGGTTCCTAAGACATGTATTTATAATGCTCAAGACATCTCTGGGCGTCACTTAGGGTTTCTCCAAATGAGAGAATCATTTTGGGCTTCAGAAATGGGCCTTCGGGCTCGGAGTTGGTTGGCCGCGGTCGGGATGGCTGTGACCGCGGGAACTGGATGGCTGGCCGCGATCGCGGTGCTTCTGACCGCGGGAAATTGCTTGTTGGCCGCGGGTGGAAACGCTTGCCGGCTGGTTTACGGGACATCTTGCTCTTCACGTATCTTTTGATTGAACCGTTGGATTGCCAAGCTGTAAAGTGTGCTGGAAAGCTGATACTTCCATCTTTAAGATCTCCAAATTTGAGCTGGATCAGACGGTGAAAATGCCTTCAATCAGGGGTGAACTTCTGACGGTTTGACTCTGAGCTGAAATCTGGTTTTCTATCCATTTTGTTAAGCTTTTCCCTAAGTTACCTGAAAAGAGTTTTGGAACTACAAATACTAGAAAACGTAATAAAAGTACTTGAAAGCAATTAAAAAAATAGAAAAAGTATTTCAAAATGATCCATAAAAGTGGTCAAAATACGGTGTTATCAAGGTTCGACCAACTTTAACACATAATCAACTGCCACCAGAATATACTCATTGCCATAAGATGATGGAAATGGCCCCATGAAGTCGATACCCCAGACATCGAAAATCTCCACTTCCAGAATGAAGTTATGCGGCATCTCATTTCTCCTGCTTATGTTCCCTTGCATATGGCATGTGTCACACGTGGATATGAATCTCTGCGCATCTCGGAACATAGTAGGCCACCAATACCCAGCCTGGAGAATCTTTGACACTGTTTTAAAAGTGGCAAAGTGACCAGCATCAGGTGAACCATGGTATTGAAACAAGACCCCAGGTATCTCTTCATCAGCTAAACATCTCCTGAAAATCCCATCAGAGCAATGCCTATAGAAATAAAGCTCATTCCAAAAGTAATGCCTCACATCCTTCACAACCCTCTTCTTCTTGTTTCCCACGAAATCTGCAGGTTCCTTCTCTGCAGCAAGGTAATTAGCAATCTCTCCAAACCAACGAAAACCAGAATGCCGAGTTACTTTACCTGAGTTGCAAAAGTTCGTCAGAGCAGGTGCTCCAAGCTGGAGCAGGTTCTCGTCGAACCCAGAAACATCAATGGCGTAAACTTGTTCATCAGGGAGGGTGCTATCTAGTGGAATGTCATCATCAATCTTCAGCCTTGAAATGTGATCTGCAACACCATTCTCGATCCCCTTTTTGTCTTTCATCTCCAAATCAAATTTCTACAGCAAAAGGATCCATCTAAGGAGCCTTGGCATGGCATCCTTCTTCGTCAAGAGATACTTCAGCGCAGCATGATCAGTGTGCACATCAACCTTCGATCCAACAAGGTAAGACCTGAATTTCTCAAAGGCATAAACCACTGCTAAAAGCTCATTCTCAGTTGTGGCATATTTGCACTGAGCTTCGTCGAGTGTTCGGCTGGCACAATAGATGACATGGAGCCTCTTTTCTTTCCTCTGACCCAACACTGCTCTAACTGCATAGTCACTGGCATTGGTCATGACCTCAAAAGGTAGTTCCCAATCTGGTGGCTGGACAAAAGGAGTGCTAACCAAAGCTTCTTTGATCGTATGAAATGCCTCCAAAGATGCATCATCAAACTCGAATTTCACATCTTTGCCCAGCAGCTGCATCAGAGGTCTAGCAATCTTTGAGAAGTCTTTGATGAAGCGTCTGTAAAACCCAGCATGACTCAGAAAACTGCGAACCCCTTTAACTGATGTTGGTGGCTGCAGAGTCATCATTACCTCGATCTTTGCCCTGTCTACTTCGATCCCTTTCTCTGAGATTTTCTGTCCCAGCACGATCCCATCTCTCACCATAAAATGGCATTTCTCCTAGTTGAGCACCAGATGCTTCTCCTCACACCGCTGCAAGACCCTGCACAAATTAGACAAACAGACAGACAAGGAGCTTCCATAGACAGAAAAATCGTCCATGAAAACTTCCATTGTGTCTTCAATCAGATCAGTAAAAATCGACATCATGCAGCGTTGGAAAGTCGCCGGAGCATTGTACAAGCCAAATGGCATCCTGCGGTATGCAAAAGTGCCATAAGGACATGTGAATGTTGTCTTCTCCTGGTTGTCTGGGAGGATTGGGATCTGAAAGAAACCTGAATAACCATATAAAAAGCAGTACTAAGGATGGCTAGCCAATCTTTCAAGCACCAGATCAATAAATGGCAAAGCGAAATGATCTTTGCGAGCACCTCAGTGTAATCTGCATCGTTTCAAGCTATTCATCAACATCGACTTTGACACCGGACATATGGACCTCGTTGCTAGCTCACACGTTCCAGCAATCTTCCTAGCACCGAGTAGCTTTATCTAGGTGTGCTCCCCGGTGTAAATCTCACAGAAGTTCTGCTCATTTTACACCGGCATCAACACCTGGGAAATGCATCCCGGTGCCAGCCCCATCGTCCAAGTTTTCTCCCCAACACCGAGATCAACACCGGCCATTTACATCCTGGTGTCAGCACACACGCCCAAGACAAGTTTCAAGACATTTTACACCGGCCAGAACATCGGAAAAATGCATCTCGGTGTAGGTGCTTTAGCCTTTTAAGAGTTTTCTTTCCGGGTCAATACCCGGTTTTCCCCGGGTTGACCCGGAAATTAAGAGACAACTATAAATACTTTTTAGGGTTTTACCCTTAGGATTACCTCATTTTCCCTTGTGCTTTTTGCCTCTTTTGTGAAAGAACACCTTTTTGAGAGAGAGATCTCCCATTTCTGTCTAATCAAAAGAGTTTTGAGAGCTTTAATCATCTTTTGTGTGTTAATAATGATTAGTGAGTAATCACCTCATTAGAGTTCTAGATATCTAGGTTAGGGTGCTCTAGGGGTTTGATTAAGCTAGTCTAGGACTAGATTCATGCATCTTTGTTCTTGTTTAACTGATCTTAATGCTTGGTTTCTGAATATCACTTAAACCCATATTCAAGACATTTCATGCACAAAAAGTGTTTGATGAAATGTCTGAACCAGTTAATACAAGAGTCTAATGTTTGATTCACATGAGAGTGTTGTTTTGAGCTTAGATTGCATATCATGATTGGTTTCTAATGCATCTCTTCCATTTATTTCTCTAATGATGATTGGGTATCAAAGATTGTTTGAGATTGTGTTTTGATGCTTGAGAAAGATTGAAACTTGTTATGAATCATGAGCTGCTTAGATCATTTATCATCATTGTTCATTAGCTACTTAGTTAAATCATGAAAAGCACCCTAGCCATCTATCATATCTGGAGCTCTAATCCTCATCATATCATATTCATCATCTTGTTTAGTTTTCTTGCTCTGTTTAGTTGCATCTCAGTCTTATTTAAATCTTGTTTTAGCTATTCTTATTGTCTTTGTTACTTGTTTGAAACCATAATCGGTCTATTTTGCGTGAATTAAGAAACTATCTCGTAGACTAGTGTCTAAACCACATTGTTGGATTGATACCCCTTATTCTACAACTGATAAAGGGGATTGATAACCTCCTTACGAGCTTAAAACTTTTAGTTATCAATTGGAGCCGTTGCCGGAGATCAGGTTTGGGGAAGCTTGGGAAAGGTTTAGGAGTTACACAAACCAGTGTCCACATCATGGCTTTTCAGTGGCTTCACTCTTGAGTACATTGTATAGAGGAGCACTCCCAAAGATCAGAAACCAGTTAGATACAACCTCAAATGGCAATTTCTTGAGCAAGGAGATTTATGCTGCTTTGGAGTTGGTAGAGAATCTAGCCATGAGAAATGATACTTATGGGGAAGACTTTGACTAAGAAAATAGAAGTGAGGGCTCCAGCAAAGAGCTGAGCATTCATAAATACATTAGAGAGCTTCAGAGCATGCAAGCTTGACAAAGTGTTAGTGGCAACTCAGAAGCCACTACACAATACAGGAAAAACAGGTTTTGGTAGCGGGTGAACACCACTATCTAACGATAGCATAGCGTTTAGTTAAGCGCTCTATCATCGCCCGCGATAATAGGCCGAGCACTTTAGATGGCGGATTTTGCTGTTCCTATTATATCGTTCAATGTGATAGCAGCTTTTTGCTTGCAATAAATTTTTTATTAATAACGTTGTTCAAGTGTTATTAATACATATTTCACAGCATTATTATGCTGTCATATTTTATTCTATTATAGCGTGTTATTTTTGTTACATATTTTTTTTTTGAAATGAATATTTAAATTTTATTATTCTATATTTTTTCTATATATATATATATATTATGTTTGAAATATTGAAGACAATAGCATAATGATCTGCTATCTTCGTATATAATAGCGTTTTGGCTTTGCGTTATGCTATTTTACAATGGTGGTTTTTAGTATTATAAATTGAAAATTCGGCCAAAAAAATCCCAAACTTTCCCTTTTTTACCAAAAAAGCACGAATTATCAGCCTAGCCAAATAAATACTCAACTTTTGTTGATTTCCATAAATAATAACAAATTTTTCGTTGACTTGCCAAATCAGCACACCGTTTATAAAGTTAACAGAAAATTTAAACGCTGTTAACTCTGCTGTTACTGTGGGGTTAACTCGAAACGACGTCGTTTTAAAATTCTGCGATTATAAAAATTTTTGTTTCCACCTGGGTTCAAACACACGACTTCAGACGCATAATGGATACTTCTGCCACTGGACCAGTGACACTTTACAATAGTGGTTTTTAGTATTATAAATTGAAAATTCTGCGATTTTAAAAAATTTTGTTTCCACCTGCGTTATGCTATTTTACAATAGTGGTTTTTAGTATAATAAATTGAAAAATTCGGCCAAAAAAATCCCAAACTTTCCCTTTTTTACCAAAAAAAGCACGAATTATCAGCCTAGCCAAATAAATACTCAACTTTTGTTGACTTCCATAAATAATAACAAATTTTTAACATAGGAAAGAGAGAGAGGACTTCTACCGTTGAGCCAAAGACACTTTTGGATAAAAAGGCAATGCATTTGCCTTTTTACTCATTTTCACCTGTTTTTTTTTTTTTTAAATTGTCATTTTAATTTTTTTCTGTTTTTTTTTTTAAATTGCAATCTATTTGCTTTTATCACTCACTTTCTCCTAAACCAAACACATTTTTTCTGTTTTTTTTTTTAAATTGCAATCTATTTGCTTTTATTATTCACTTTCTCCTAAACCAAACACATTAAAATCGCAATTTTTTATAAAAAAAAAAATAACAGGTGAAAATGAGTAATAAAAACAAATGGATTGCCTTTTTGTTCAAAAGTTTCTTTTGCTCAGTGGTAGAAGTCTCCTCTCTCTTTCCTATGTTAAGAGTTCAAACCCAGGTGGAAGCAAAACATTTTAAAATCGTGAATTTTTTTAAAAAAATCGGGCAAAATAAGTAACAAAAACAATTGCATGACCTATATGTTCGAAAGTGTCAGTGGTCGAGTGGCAGAAATATCTTTTATGCGTTCGAAGTCGTGTGTTCGAACCCAGATGGAAGCAAAAAAATTTAAAATCTCAGAATTTTAAAACGACGCCGTTTCGAGTTAACCCCAACAGTAACAACAGAGTTAACGGCGTTTAAATTTTCTGTTAACTTTATAAACAGTGTGCTTGCTGATTTGGCAAATCAACGAAAAGTTTGTTATTATTTATGGAAGTCAACAAAAGTTGAGTATTTATTTGGCTAGGCTGATAATTCGTGGTTTTTTTGGCAAAAAACGAAAAAGTTTAGAATTTTTTTGGCCGAATTCTTATTATAAATTACATATATAATAACTTTTTTTGTATTATCAGTTACCTATTTAATAGCATTTTTTGTAGCAATAAGTACATGTCATCGAATTGGATTTTTTTTATTTCAAATCTGGTGAAATCGGAAATATTTTTTGTTTTTGACAGTTTTTGGTTTTTTCGAATTATATTTTTTCTGTAAATATCAATCTAATAAAAATAAATTTAACTTAAAAAGAGAAACCTAATTAATTTATTAAATGAAATTACAAAAGTTTAAATTTACAAAAGACGAACAAATTGGAACTCACTTTTTTTTCTGCTTCTTCTCCTTATAGCAGTCTCGACGAGCCATGCCTCGGGAGGACTGTCCTTCTTCTTGTTTGGGGTGTCTTTGCATAGCGTATTTACGTTTTTTCTTTATAATTCTTTTGATAGCTTGACGGTACTCTGGTGTAATGTCTTCTTCGAGTTCCTCAAGGCGGACTAAGCTGGTTCCTAAAGCTCTCCGGTACTGTTCTCTTGTGATTTCCTCGTTATCACTTCCTTTTTCATCATCTGCATCTTTTCGTGGCTGTTGGCGGAGCTGTGGTATGATTCCTTTTGTGGGGAGTCCGCAGATTATTACTTTCCTTGCTTCTATTTCTGAATCAGATTGTAAGCAACACAGAAATTAACAATAACAGTATCAAACACAATGAACAGTGAAACATTTACAGTATCAAACACAATGAAAGCGTATCAAACACTAGTAACTACTAGCAGAACAATTAAGTCAATTAAATTTGGCTAAAAATACAACTTTATTAAGCAGACAAGAAACGAACAAACAAAATGGAAATGCTTCAACTTTACACGTTAAAAGACAATGATATCTTTTACAAATGAAGAAGATACAAAAAGCAGATGTGTGTACGCACTTAAATGAAGTTGTAATCTATCAAAGATACAAAAAGTTGATGTCAAAATATGAAACAAATTTAATCCAATTGTGATGCAACGAGAAACCAAACGACTGAGAGAATAAGGAGAAACGGTGAAGAAAGCCCTAAACTATAGCAATTATACAGTATTTTATATGAAACCATATGGTTTAGAGAAGAAGAAGAAACAGCAATTAAAGCAATATAACTATACGAACCGGTCACAAATTTATCGGCATCTATAACATTGAGAGAAGATGCAATGAGAGAGATGTAAAGAATAAAGTACCGGAGGAACTCTGGGATACAGATCTTCGAGTGAGATAAATATACAGCAACGAAGAAGAATACATTGTATTTAGGGGTTTGGGTTTAATATCATCGATCCTATGGTGGAGATTGAGAGTTATATTATTTCATCGTACGGTTGAGATTGATTATTGATCCAATGGTTATTGATCCCAGCGTTAGAGTATTGATCGTACAGTCAAGCTAGTGCTAGATAATGGATCTTAGTACTTTTTAACTATTGGTCCTTTTTGTTCAAAATAATATTTTTCATTTCCAAATTATAAATAATGTATTTAATTTTTTATAAATGACAATTATGTAAATATTAAATATTTAGTAATTCCAATAATGTAGAACTTAATTTTTATATTTTATGACAATAGGAAATTATAAACGGAATTCAACATATATTTAATCTCTAATCAACCGTAAACCTAAATCCTAAATCTCTGATCACTTAACCCTAAAGGCTAAATCTTCAAAATGTGAAATACAAAACTATTTTAAATTTATTACTACATAAATTGATATATTGTATGAAAAGCATTGTAATTTTATAATAAAGTCAAAGTAGGAAATTGTAATGCTTCATAATAAAACACTAAACATTAATCTTAAACCCTTAAACTCTAATCCTTTACCCCTAAACACTAAATATTTGAAATGTGAAATACAATAATATTTTTAATTTATTAATACATAAAATGATATATTGTATGAAAATTATTCTAACTTTATTTTAATAAACATTATAGATACAAATTATAATGATTCATAGTGAAACCCTTTTAATCCTAAACCCTAAACATTAACCCTAAACCCTAAATATGAATATAAAAACGATTTTTACTTTATCACTATATATAAATATTATTTTCAAAATATTTGAAGATATGTTTGATATTTAAGTAAAAAATTTAAAGCTTATTCTAATATTAAATTTAATTAAATTATGCTGGATATGTTGTCATTCACTAAAAAATTGAATAGATTAAAATTTAATCAAACCGTAGTACAAGATTTGAAGATATGTTTTTTACCATTTAAAGCTTAAGAATCCAAAGTACAAGCACATTAGATTAAATTTGTAGCATAAAATACTACGGTTGTTCAAGCATGTCACAGCATTTTTATTTTGTCGATAGGCTAAGCTACGGTTGTTCCCATTGCATCGGTGATGAATTGAACTTCAGAATTTGGTCTCCATACTCTTGTGTTATCAACCTTTGAAAATTCTACCCAGACTTTGCTAGCATTGGGGCTAGAGGGACGAAATGAACCTTCTCTGCTGGATCAGTTGAAGACACTCGGCCTTGTGCAACCGTTTCTCCAGATCCATTGCAGTCTAACAACAAACATTTCTGTTTCCCTACTTTGCTACTATTGGCACTGTTACTTGTACTCTACAATTCAAAATTCCAAAACACAAATTAAAAAAAAAAACATAACCACATCATTATTTAGAACACAAAGTTATGTGGAGAAGAAAGGTACCGCAGGTATTATCTCAGGATCGACTAACTGTATCTTATGAATTAACCATGCAATGTCCTCATTACGTGCATCACCTAAGACTGACGTTTCAGCACTTGGTCTCCACAAAAAAGCACTGTCTTTACTAACTACGTCAACTTTCACAATTACAGCATTTGGTCCCATAGGTATATTCTTAACCAAGTCCTTTGCATCAGTAGAA